CTGGTTGTTCATCTACTTCTTATGCATATTTGCAGTTGTACGGTCTGTGTTAATTTTTGTAAATTGTCCTCTGCTTCGCGAACTGTGGCTGTTAACTCTGGCAGAAACTTCTCGTTGTTTATCTAATTCTGGGCTTTAGTCTTGTTCCAAACACTGTTTTGAACAACGAGATCCGGTATCTATATGGGGGATTTTTGTGTTTGATATGTGTATGTTGCACAGCATTTGCAGTTATATGGTCTTTTTTGTTGTTGCTTTAATTACCTTTAAAATAATATACCATTCATGATACTTATACGCGTTGTTGCATGCAGTATTCCGAAATATGTGTGATGGATTTTCAAACAGTTACCAAAATATTCACAATAATAAGGAATTGATTTCATCCAACAAGATGAAACTTGGACAAATTTGTTTGTGCTGTTTGTACTTGAGGATAAATATTTAGTAGTGCTATAAGTACTGTTAAGAAAACTGCTCTGGGTGAAAAATTATTGCACAAATCAATTTCATATTGACTGTGCGTGTTTACTAATTATTAAATAACAGTATAATTATTTGTTATAGTAGTCTACTCATAGTAATAATGACCATCAATCATTTATTTTTTATGTTATGTAGGACATGTGTATGTTTCACAGCAGTATGTTTATGCGCTAAATTTGATAAAGTACAAATGTCACCTCCCCCCCCCCCCCCCCCCCCCCCCCCCCCCGTCTCCTCTCTCTCTGATGCAACAATACCCTCTCAGAATCAAAGAGTTGGCACTGATATTTCTTTACTTTTGCTGGAATAATTTTCAGTTTATATCCAAACGTTATTGATGTTTAAGTTCATGTTGACTGTATCAAAAGCATTTTTGTTTGTCTGTAAGAGCCTTTATTGTTATATTTAAATAGCACACTTATTCACCTTAAAAATTACGTATAAAATGTGTAGAAAATTAATAAAACTGTTGTTTAATTTGTGTATTCATCTCCTCGATAAAAACTGTGGACGCAGAGGGACTCCATTCTTGCACAAGGACGGGAATCCCCGTGACCTGTTTGGTCTATAAATAGAGAAGACCGTGGTCTGCCTCTACTCCTTTTTCCACTCTTTCCAGTTATCACGATGTTCTCCAATGTCTCTGTTCTCATTATCTGGCCAAAGAACAGTGTTTGTCTATTTTACATTACACAGATTTAATTTAAACGTCAAATATGTTTTTTTAATGGCAAGTCACTTAATATACAAATATACAAATTAACCCTAAGTCCCTATGAGAAGCCTGCCCAGAGGACCCATGCGTTAAGACGACCCTGGCACGGACTTGCGATTCACTGTGCCTCAACAAAATGGGGTCGCGACTGGAAAAAGTTGGGAAGCACTGCACTGGAAGGTTTAATGCTGTCTAATGTAAACTACTTGTGTTATTTAACCTCTTGAAAACTCTGAAAGTCTAAAAGAATTTTTACTGACTCACTGCAAACAAATTAGCCCTCGTGCAGTTTAACTGTTTGTGATGCTGTCCAATACAACAAGAGAAAAGTGCCACCAGACAGGAAAACGAAGTCAGTATTAAATGGTTAACTGTATTTATTGCTGGCAGTTGTTCGTGAGGCTGGCAGGTTTTTCAACTATTTAAACTGTGGCTGGGTGAAAGAGAATCTAAAATATTATTTTGCGTGGTCCCAGAAAGTTTCCACGAAACCGAAAATTTTGCTGTCGAAATTTACAATTTTAACTTCTTTTTTTTTCCCCCTTAGGATTTAATCATTCAAGCAGTGGTTTGGTGTAAACTATTTGAGAACGGATGTTAATTTATGATTAACTACTTATTACATCTTCCCTAGCTGAGCCGGACTATTTTCAAAATTGAACTTAACTCTCAGGTCGATCCAGCCTTGAGTGGGTACCGGGTGCAGTCACGGGAAGTAAAGGCAGCCGGCGTGATGTTGATCACGTCACTCATCTTCTGCCGATTGGTCTATAAAAATATAGGTCTAGCCCTATATGCCCTATAGCCTAAAGGCGTGGAAAAGCATTGCTTACCTTTTTTTTAACCTATTACATCTAAATCCCCCATATAGCTGTGTTTAATTCAAAATGATCTAAATACTACATCTAAAAGATATTTACGGCTGGTGATTAAGTCATGATTATCCATCTGCTGCATCTAAAAGATTGTGATGTTAATGATTAATTCATGATTGTTTAGTAAATGCACATAAAAGACGTGCGTAGCGGTGTTTAAGTCACGATTATCTATTCGCTATATCTAAAAGATGGCGATGTTAATTTATGATAGTCTAGTAACTACACATAAAAGATGTGTCTGGCGGTCATTAAATCATGATAATTTATTTACTACATCTAAAAGATGGCGGTGTGAATTTATGATTGCTTAGTAACTACATGTTAAAGACGTGTCTGGCGGTCATCAAATCATGATAATCTATTTACTTCATCTAAAGAATGGCGGTGTGAATTCATGATTCCTTAGTAACTACATGTTAAAGACGTGCCTGGCGGTCATTAAATCATGATAATCTATTTACTACATCTAATAGATGGCGGTGTGAATTCATGATTGCTTAGTAACTACATGTTAAAGACGTGTCTGGCGGTCATTAAATCATGATAATCTATTTACTACATCTAATACATGGCGGTGTGCATTCATGATTGCTTAGTAACTACATGTTAAAGACGTGTCTGGCTGTCATTAAATCATGATTGTCTATTTACTGCATCTAAAAGATTGCGCTGTTAAGGATTAATTCATGATTGTTTAGAAACTACACATAAAAGACGTGCATGGCGATGTTTAAGACGATTAACTATTTGCAAATCTAAATGATGGCGATTTTAATACATAATTGTTTAGTAGCTACAGATAAAATACATGTATGGCGGTGATGAAGTCACCATTAACTATTTATTACATACAGACGATGTTTATGACTGCGTTGGTTTATGCACTTAAATCATAGTTAGATGTACACGACTACATAGATAAATAAGAAAGGAACATGAGGGTCTGGCAGCAGTCAATAGAGAAAAGCTACTGCAACCATAGAAGTCACGACTTAACTCATTTTAACTACTCGATTGCTGTAAAATGTATCCATGGATTATCCTAATAATAGATCACTATCTATTAAGATTTGTCACCTGTATTTGTGGCTATGGAAAATTGTTCAGGAGGCAGTCTTTCAGATAACGTTACGCTAATAGACGTGTGCGTATCAATGGTTGAGACTTCTGTACTGATTATTTCCTTTGCCCTCAACCTCATTATTATCGTCTGCTTCTGCTGCAGCCCCCGTCTGCACACCATCGCAAATGTATTCGTTGTTTCACTAGCATTCAGTGATTTACTTTACTCTACAGGCTATGAGATGACTTCTGCATATATTCTGTACGCTGTAAACACACATATGACATTTTCTTGCTCTGTAGCTTTGCAATGCACAAGTCTATATTTAGTATTTTTCAGTATGATCTGCAGCCGATGTTGCCATTTTGTTGTTTCCGTTGAACGCTGGCTTTACATCGCCTGGCCGTTTGTGCATCAAAGAGTTATAACTACTAAATCAACCATCTGCTGTCTGATATTCCTATGGATCATATCCATGTTATCAGGCGTGCACGTTCTCACAGGCTGCAGATCCGGTCACACCCAGTTTATGATTGGTTACGCTACAGTGGATACCAGCGTCCATTTTGTTGTTGGTGGCTTAATGTTGGCCATTTATGTCCACATCGGATTTATCATTCGACGACAAAATGTGGCTATTTGTAAATCTCGACTGACTGGCGGGAACAACAGTGTCAGTGACATAAACAGAAGAATGACCTGGAACATCATCCGTATGCCTGTTACTATATTCGGGACATTCTTTCTGTCTGTGACCCCGATTGTGATTGGTAATATTTACTTGTATGCCACAATAGGAAACCCTTCATTTTATAGAGATAATAATGCCTACGATGTGCTCAGAATAGTTTCACTGTTTCATACATGGGCTAACTTTTTTGTCTACATGCTACAGGATAAAGATTTCAGGTCAGTGCTCAAGTTTGGCTTTACGAAATTCGCACATGGAATTTCTCGACACATAATTTACCCGTTGAATATGTAAGAAGAGAAACATCAAACAGCTTGTCAGCTCGGCATCTAACACAAGAACAATATAGTCAGCAAGTATCACACTTTTATTTTCCAGGAAACTTCCCGGTGCGTGCTTTAGACTGCGCTGAGCTGGGAGCTCAAGTTAATGGTTTGAGAAACCCGCGTCGTCACAGGGATTTGAACACACTACCAATGGGCAGATAGGTAAAGTGATTAACTGTTCAGTTACTGCAAAGTACGCCTACAATCATAATTAGATGCGCAACTTCATCTTTTTTAAACAGCTAAAACACATTTAAACCCTTCTCGCAAGACAAAAGATCACGTTGGTACATGACAATTAGTTGATCTGAATTAAGAACCAACATCGCCACACTCGGGGTAATCCCTTCACCGCCCAGTCTTCATCTTCAGCACCAAAGCAAAGTTCCAATTCCGATCGTACCAGTAGCAGTCTGATTGTCTGTCCTGATACGACAAACTATGCGAATTGATTTTCAAGATTTGATTGTGTCACTATTGTTATACTGCAACGGTTCACAAGAGAATGCGTCAGCTACTCGTAGATGACTAGTGCAATAAACGTTCATCGTTTGTGTCGTTGCTTAAGATAAATCCATTAAAGCTTGTGAAGTTCAGATTCCTGCCACACTTAGAATATGAACGGAAATTATTTGGCGTCAACAAATTTTATTCCAAGACTGCAATGAAATGAACCTGGAGCAACCAGGGGTTTGATTTTGACAAATGCACATGAATGTGTTGAAGAGAGAGAAGTTACTGAATCAAGGTCAGTGTCTATTTAACGATAACTGTTTGTAAGCTGATGATATAGAAGTTATATAAATTATCAAGAACAATTCATGTATTGTCAGTTCTATGTATGGCAATGGATAACTGCACGGATAATTTTTCTGACGCCGTCACTACACCTGGAGATGTGTACACATCTATTGTCGAGACAGGCATATTAACTATTTCATTCGTCCTCAACGTGATAATCGTCGCTTGTGTTTGCTGTAGCCCGCATCTGCACACGTTCTCTAATGTCTTTGTGGTTTCCCTAGCTGTCAGCGATATATTATTTGCTACAGCCTATGAATTCACTTCTGCTGTCAATCTGTACATGGCCAGTACACATCTACCATCACCCTGCTCTCCAGTTTTACAATGCATGAGTTCATATTTAGCATCGTGTAGCATGATCTGCAGCCGAATTTGTCACTTGGTTGTTTCCGTTGAACGCTGGCTTTACATCGCCTGGCCGTTCGTACATCAAAGAGTGATAACTACTAAATCTATCATCAACTGTTTGATATGTGTTTGGATCATATCAATGTTATCAGGTGTACACATAATCACAGATTGCCGATCTAGTTACACAGAGTTTATGATAGGATATGCTACCATAGATGCTTGCGTCCACTTTGTAGTAGGAAGCCTAATGGTGGCCATTTATGTCCACATCGGATTTATCATTCGACAACAAAGTGTGGCTATTCTTAAATCTAGACCGACTGTCGGTAACAACAATGTTGGTACAATAAATAGCAGAATTGCTTGGAACATCGTCCGTATGCCCGTTACAATATTCGGAACATTTTTTTTATGTGTGACCCCTATTGTCTTCTGTAATATTTATTTGTTTGCAACAGATGAAAGTCCGACATTTTATCATGGTAATACAATGTATGATGTTCTCAGAATAATAACAATATTTCACACCTGGGCCAATTTCTTGGTCTACGTGCTCCAGGATAAAAAATTTAGGTCAGTGATGGCATGTTACTTGTTAAAAATGGGAACGGTAATTTGGCCTATCAGAATTCACCCAATAAACAATTAAAAGCGACATATCTAAACATAGTGAAGAGAGTATAGATGTCAGCAAAAATCAGAGCTTGTGCATGCAGTTTGCCAGACGATGTAATGGTGTTGACAAAACATGAGATAAAATAGCCTTTTATAAATTAACTAAAAAAGTTATTCCTAGTTAGTAGTTCCCAGTTAGCTAAGACCCACTTATTCCCTCTTATCATTGAAGGTCTGACTCGGGGCGGGTGGGGGGGGGTTAGCAAGAACATAAACAAGTGAGGGAAAAAATGTCATGCACACTTACTTTATCTATAACTCTCAAATCCCAAATAACGAGTGGCTGTTAATGTGTATGTCTTTTCCTCCCATTTTTTTTAAGTCCAAAGATTTGGGACAACGTTTTGATGCCAGGTTTTTATTGAGACGATGAGCTGAACCAAGCTGAGGTAAAAACTGACATCACAGAAATCCTGGCATTCCCATGAGCGCTCCGTACCCATTGACAGTCAGCAGCCAGAGTTCCAATGATGTTTGCAGGCTGGCCAGTAACAAAGTGTAGTGGTCCGACAATGTAATGTGGTTTACAATTAGCGTGTAGTGGTCCGACAATGTAATGTGGTTTACAATTCGATACCTTTGGAGACGATTTCAAGAAACAGACTCAGTGGCAGGCCTAGAGTTTCACCTGCCGATACCGCTTCATGCAGCCCCAACACCTCAGCAATCGATCTGCATCTGTGTCATCTACAGTCCAGTCATTATCAACAGTGCATTGCATAACAGCTCAAACGACTAGGAATCGGCTGCATGACGCTGGTCTTTGGAAAAACAGAGGCTCACCTCTCAGTGGAATAGCTATAAAATTGTCGATTAGAACTGGTAGCTGTACATCGACTGTAAACTGTAATTATGTGTTTCATAAATCGTGAAGTCATTCATTAGAACCAGCATCGAGTGTTTCACCCGTAACGGAACCCAGTATTTCGTTCACAACCCGAGCACGAATAAAGTTATGACAATGAAATTTGTACAGGACTTACCTCCGTTCATGCGAATTTCAATCAGCCTTTCAGGACCTTGATATTATTACTAAACCACCTAGCAAACAAGAATTCATTAAAGCTATCAACACTTTAAAGGACAACAAAGCACCAGGTAAAGACGAACTGCCTGCAGAACTTCTCAAATTAGATCACAACACAACTGCTAGCATTCTAGAACCATTGTTCAAAGATATTTGGGAAAAAAGAAGTCTTGCCTGATGACTAGACTGAAGGAACAATAGTATACATCCCTCAAAAAGGTAACTTAACAGAATGCAATAATTGGAGGGAAATTACTCTACTCTCAGTACCAAGCAAAATATTTTGTAAAATCATCATGCGGCTTAAAAAAGGAGTAGATAAATGCCTACGAGTGGAACAAGCAGGATTCAGAAAGGGCGGAGGAACAACTAAGCACATCTTCACCCTACGTAACATTCTAGAAGAATGCAATGAATGGCAGAGAATTATAATAATTAATTGTGTCGACTTTGAAAAAGCCTTTGACAGCCTCCATAGAGACAGTCTCTGAAAAATCTTACGATATTATGGAATTCCAGAAAAGATAGTCAACATAATTGCTCTCTTCTATAAAGACTTTTCCTGCAGTATAAAAAATAACAATACATCTTTCTCAGTAAAGACAGGTGTAAGACAGGGATGATAAGCAAGAGAAGATGGAAGTGGCATGGCCACGTTATGAGAATGAATCCTGATATACCTGCCAAAACAGCTCTCACATGGACACCAGAGGGAAAGAGAGAAAAAGGAGTGCCCAAAAACAACATGGAGACGAACGATGGAAAGTGACCTGAGTGTGGCATCTTTGACATGGAAAACAGCGCTGAAGATTGCACAGGAAGAAAAGCAGGGAAAGTCCTCTCTGAAGCCTCGTGTGCCACTAGGCATGAAGAGAACTGATGACGATGTGAAGTCGGATGATGTCACAAGAAACAGCGAACCAGAGACCTTGAAACCAAACCAGTGCGGCTAGCCAAGCAGCGACACCTGACGTACTGCAGGCAGAGTTTCCACAACATGGAACACCACGCCCTATGCTACCTGGACAATAATGGTGGCCATTTCCGGCCCTGGTTATAAGTCGCCCAACTTTGGTCAGTTCACTCCAAATTTCGTTGCCATATCTTCATTAGTATCAGAGTTAAGATAGAAATACTTGGTGCCGCTCTGAGTGAAATAGTCAATATTTATGCCTATTTGTAGAAAGATAAACTATGCATCGATTGTAAAGTGCAGCTGTGGATTTGATAATACCTGAATTCATTCATAAGAACTGTTATTTAATCTAAGGAAGAAAAACTATACACTAATCGTAAACTGCATGTATAGCAATAAATAAAAATACGAAAAATTCCATGTGTTTTATCTACCGAGAAATAAATATGTAAATATTAAAAACCAATATTGTTGCAGGGAGCATTTCCATCCGCCTCAACATTCAGAATTTTCCCTGGCAGCGTTTGTTGTAGACGTCTTCTGCAAAGATTCTGCCATGTCTTTCTTGCTACTATGGCTGCCATTGAAATAATACTATCAATGACCTACGAATTTACAGTTGTAACTAATCTATACGCGGCCACTGTTAGGCGGCCATTGCCTAATCCGTTAGTTTTATTTTGCACATATGTCCCAAATCAATGATTTCTACTTTCATATTTGTGTGGGCCGTATCTCAACAGGCGTGCATACTGTCACAAACTGTAGCAATTTTATCTCTGAATTCACGCTTGGTTACGCATCTCTGCACTCCTCAGTCCACATAGTTTTTGATGGTCTTAAGCTGCTCGTGTGCATGCATACTGGATTCACCATTCGACGAAAATTTAAAGGGAAGGGCCCTTTTTCACGCCATCAGGCGTACATGGCATATAGGGCTTGACCTATATTTTATATACTAATCGACACTGGAGATTGTGGTGGTGGTGGGGGAGGGGGGGGGGTGATGTGGTGATCATTACGCAGGCCGCTTTTACTTCCAATAAATGTACCTGGTACCCACTTCATGTCGATCTAGGAGTCTGGGGTTATTTTTGAAAAAAGTCCGGGCGCTTGAAGACCTGACCCATCCGATCCTCTTCGCTCGTCTAGCCGCTACATCACGGCGGCTCCCGACGATAACTGTGCTATATAAATCCAGAGTCGCTGCAGACAACGAAAGCAGAGGTGCTGTAAACAGAAGAATGACATGGAACATGGTTCATATGAAAGTGACCATATTGGGCAACATTTATTTATATTTATGACCTCTATGGTGATTTTCAACAATTATTCTAATGTATGTCGGAAACACGGGACTCGGTATTGGTAACAACTTCTATGATCTTATAAAAGGTATATTATTGCTTCAATTCTGAACTAATTTCTTCTTGTATCTGCTACAGGACAAAGAAATCAGCAGACAAAATGTTTCACCAATGACTAGTGAACTGGCCACCGCTAAACCTACGAAATCTATTGCATGTGATATAATTGAATCAACGCGTCTTACTGTCTACTAGATAACCATAAGATATACCACAAGCGTGTTGTCTTGTAGATAAAATAAAAGACAGGTCATAAATTGCTGTCTCCTTCAGTCGGTGACTACAACGATTAAAAATGTTACCGTGAATTACCTTTTTGTGTCAGCGTTTTTACAGGCGATAAGAAAGGACGAAAGTGATCGACTATGTAGAATTCACTTTTATTCGTTAATTCAAAATTGTACGCACACATGACGTTAGTTAACAGTTATTCAGTCATCCTTCTATCAGAAATATTGGTAAAACGTTTCAAGATATCTGCTTACACCCGTGACGAGTATAACCATTCACGAAAGGGCAACATGACATGATTGGTCTATCGCCTTATTTATCTTGACACTGTCACATACTGCTCGTGTCACGTGCCTAGGTGAGGTTTCTCCTAAGGAACCAACAGCACTCTGAAATAGTTATAATTGTAGGAATGCCGGCTCGCAATAGTTTAGGCTGAATCCCGCAGTTCCGATACACATCCAACCTATTTCAGGAGTGAGGCGACACAAGTTATGGCACGACAGAATATAAACTCCTAGGCGCCGCTTGGTCTGACACTCACTACTACCCCCCCCCCCTAGTAAATACAACACAATTATGTAATTTCATAATTACACACTCCAGACAACTAGGAACAGTCAAGGATAGACATTGAAATCAAGTAAATCAAGAATGAAAAATTCTAAAGACATGTAATAAGTTCAACATATACATAAATGAATCAGGCAAAAGGAACTTAACAGAATCAATGACATTAAGAACCCACAGACACATTATATGTGATTGACCTCCACGTTTTTCTTAAGAGCAGCCTTATTCATCACGACATACATGTGGACAATGAATATAGGATCCTGGCACTGAACCAAAGGATGTCCCACATTTATCGGTTTCCAGGTCCGGTCCACTGCACTTTTGCTTGCTTCATAGTCGTTTCGAATGGCTGGTACTCTCTGGGACACTGTTCTGTTATAATGTGGACACGGGTGTGTCATTGAGGTTCGGACATCTTCATAAATGTCCTAGAAGTTAAAGTTTATCTATGAACTAATGTCACAAGGAAGTCACACACCTTTTCCTCCACTGCTAGATGCACGAACCAGCTCCTTGAGAGTAATCTCTGCCACTCTATTCTGTCACTGGCAGCATTCTTCACCCGCTGAACACAAGATTTGTGGTGGTGTAGCACTCATTTTAGTGTCTTCTGACTTGCTGGTGGTAACGCTAAGGTTGGTGAAGATTTGGAACTGTTGATTCACAGCTGAGCCTCCAAAGATTTAACCCTGTGACAAAAAGGAACACCAGAATCAGCAGTCATCTCACAATTCATATGCTTAGCTCATGTTATCACTATCCACACTTAATAAATACTCAGAGGTCTGCTGTAAGGATAGCGCTGGTAGGAGCTCTGTGCAAATAGTGTCAGACAGTAGAAGAAACATGAAACAATG